CTCCAATCAAACTGTTTACAACTACTTCTCTCCATCCAAAGGTTGCCTGGAAGAGATCGCGTTTAGCGACAAGGTCGTCCATTGTTTTCTCACTGTGAACATTTCTTGTAATTGTTTATATTTATAATAAGTCTACTACTGTAATCTTTTGGAGGATACAATAAAGAGTATCTATCTATCTATCTATCTATCGATTCAATGTAAATGACGTACAACTAATAAAATACACGTAGACAATACCATTCTAGATTTAGTTACAATTGGAACTAGATATTTACCTAATTGACAATTCCCGCTGTGTCTCTAAATTAAAGTAGGATTCATTTGTGTTTTACGATCAGCAAACATCTTGTTAGCAATGTCTTGAAGGGAAAATAGAATTTGTAAACTTGTATCTGGAAATGAAATATAGTAAATAGGTCGTCTATTTTAATTTGTACAATTAGTCTTAACAAGTATAGTTTGAGACGTTCTCAATTACGATAGAAGGGGGGAAAGGGATTGTTAGTAATAGGGAGGTTAGTCCCCATAGCGAACAATATACCCTATCAGGTCGACCTCCACGCGGTTCCCCCTGGAAACCATCATGTTTAATTCTTGTCGAATTCATCATGGTGGGCCAACTCATCTGCATTCTTTCTCACCTATCATCTTCCACTGTTGCCTCGTCGGTGTATACCGATAGCGCGGGCGGGGTTACTATTCCATTTTCACCCATTAAAAAAAATAGCGATAGGAATGTGTAAGTGAGTTTGTTATTACCTCTTAATGCTTTAACGCTTGGACCATCAACATCATCATCATCATCATCATATCAGCCTTTAAATTGTCCACTGCTGAACATCTTGTGAGTTTTTTCCAATAGTTGCCACGCTTGGCTGACAATTTTTTCAATATGAATTCCTTTTATTAGAATTATCGCGTATTTATATTTATATCATACATTATCTTATTATAATTTATTTTTTATTTTTTGTCTCATTTGTGTTTCTACATTTTTTTTTATTCAACTTAGCCTAACTTAACGTCGCCTATAGACATGAGTAGTACCATGAACATAACAGAGTATCCTGTTTCGCCCATGATACTCCCCCATGCGTTGCCATTCCTGATGACTCAGGTGAATCATCCAATACATATTTACCTTTTTATTTAACTTTTCTGTTACATGATTGCGTTTATTTATTTATTTATAGCAAAACAACAGATAACAAATTGATACATTAATAAAATAAATATTACATAAAACAGCATTAAATTTGCACTCCAATGACTGCTCAGCATAACATTCGATTTTAGAAACATTAAAAGAATGACGGCTACAAATTTAAAGTAACAAATTGGCAGGCTTAATATAACGTTGCAAGGATTGTTGGAAAATATCAAGGTTATACAAACATTGTTATATTTTCTGCACAGTTTGATTTTAACTGAGAGCATTTTTGCCAATGGCACAGAAATACAAATATCAACTGACGTATTTTTCAATCTCTTTGAATGCCGGTTGCCTTACGTAGGCGTAAAACGCATCAAGCCCGTATAGATGATGGATGCGGATTCAAGTTATTTGGCGGGCTTAATGGATTCTAATGGTGAGTTACTTTTCAATTTATTGTGTATACAAACGCAAAGGGCGTCACAGGATGTTCTGTGAAGCTTATAAAACACCATAGATAACATCGCCTGTACACAAGTTTATGTCTGATAGCTACGTTAGACCGACCCGTGTTCTTTTTGTATTGGACATTGGGTTCGCACTTGATTATCTCATGAAATGAAGTGATGGCAAGGCCTAAGTTGAAACGCCCCTTATCTAAAAGATACTTATAAATTTAATAATAAAATTACTTTGAAAGTTTTAATTCTTTATCAAAATTTACCACCTGATGAAAACTGAGGGTCTACCATGAAATTTTTTCCGAAATTTCGGGTCCGAACGAAACACAAATTTAATATTAAAATTACATGATACATACCGTTTAAAAATATTAACAATGCTAAAATATCGTTCCCCTAGTCTTTTATGGTAGGATTATTGGACAATCAAAGGATTAGGGGGGAAAGGGATTGTTAGTAATGGAGGCTGAAAATCCCATTGCTAGCAATATACCCAACCAGGTTGACCTCCTCGCGGTTCCCCCTGGAAACTATCATGGTTAATTCCAGATGAATTCATCATGATGGGCTAACTGGCCTGTTTTCATCCTCATCGATCACCATTCACTGGTGCCCCGCCAGCGTATCCCGTTAGCGCAGGCGGGGTTACCATTCCATTTTCATCCAATAAACAACAAAATCAAAGGATTACTTTAGGTATTTTTATACACTAACACATAGCTTTTAACACAGCGAAATATGGCTAATCTCTAATAATCCCACACAGCAACAAGCATTTCTTAGTATCAATATGTTATTACATGGAAATGAACTTAATTATGTAATTACCCAGTTACTATGATTAGTAATGTCTCGTTACAACTACATCACGATGATATTAAATTAGAAGATAGCCAAGATTTTCCAAGTAATTTCAAAAGATGCCTAATGAAATAATGACATCACGACCCGAATAATTCGAATAACATTAGAATGGTATTATTAATATGGCCATGTGGTCCCGGCGTAAAATAGGCTATCCCTTCCTTTACCGTGGGTGTCGTAGTCGCCACTAATGGAGGACGAGAGATTTGCAGCACCGTCCGTTTTACCAGAGGGAGACTTTGTACAAAAGTCGATTGCTTGAGTACCTCCGTCCCATTCGTGTTTCAACCGTGAAGCAGTTGTGTTTGCATGGCTGTGTTTCGATTTGAAGGGTGGAATATGGCGTGAATTTACTGGGTACAAAGGAAAAATACCTGAGTCCTCAGGAATGGCAACGCATGGGGGTATCATAGGCGAAACAGTATACTCTGTTATGTCCATGGTACTGCTCATGTCTATAGGCGACGGTTACCATTTTCTAACTTTAAACTAAATAGTCAAGGGATGGGCAGCAGCGTCCTTATTTTTTTTTTATGGGTTAAAATGGTATGGTAACCCCGCCTGCGCTAACGGGATTCGTTGGCGGAGCACCAGTGAAGGGTGATAGATGAGAATAAAAACAGGCCAGTTAGCCCATCATGATGAATTCATCAGGAATTAACCATGATAGTTTCCAGGGGGAACCGCGAGGAGGTCGACCTGGTTGGGTATATTGCTAGCAATGGGATTCTCAGTTTCCATTACTAACAATCCCTTTTCCCTCTGCAGCGTCCTTATTTAAACATCATCAAAACCTAACTGCGGTTGCTGATCCACCTGCCAAGCGTGGCAACTACTAGCAAAACCCCCCAAGGGGAGGCTTATGTTCAGCAGTGGACGGTTAAAGGTTGGTATGATGACGATTTTTAATAATTAAACTATTTATTACGTAGCTTCATTAAATTTCGTCTATCCAAATAAGAACTATTTCTCGCGGCTTTGTCCGCATAGATACCTGCAATTGTCTCTCGCGCCCATGAGATTTCCATTCCGGGAAAACCTTTTGAATCTTTGTTTAAAGTATGGGATTTCCTGAAATCCCTTTGCAGAACACATATCTTGAAATCCGTCAGTTTCTATTGCACGTTAGTTTGTCAGGCATTAAGTTTCTACCTTTTAACCGACTTGAAAAAGGAAGTTCTAAATTAAGTTGTATTTTTCTGTTTCCTCATAACTCCTTCAGTTATAGACCGATTAGAAAAAATCTTTTTTTATTTAAAAAGATATATACTCGTAGATTATTTTAATGTTTTTTTTTCTTTTTTTTTACGCAACTTAGAATGGCTAACAAGGTGACGACCCATCTGATGGAAAGTGGTAACCGTCGTCTGTATACATGAACAGCACCATGGACATAACAGAGTATACTGTTTCGCCCATAATACCTCCTATGCGTTGCCATTCCTGAGGACTAAGGTATTATTTCTCTGTACCCTGTGAATTCACTGTCATATAATAATCGCCCACCCTTCAAACTAAAAAACAGTCATGCAACAACTACTTTACGGTAAAAACACGAATAGGACAGAGGTGCCCAAGCAAACGACTTTACTACAAAATCTCCCTCTGGTAAATTCTGAACATGAAAGAAATTAATCAATCAATAATTTATTTGTATAAACATATGTACAAATAGATATTATTATTTACAATTATAGAACGCTATTTTTTCCCCCATAATTGGACATATAAATTGTTATATAACATTTATTATTTTATTAATAAATTTATTTGTTTATTTATTTAAGGAACACCAACAGCATATTGCATTATAACATGTAGGTATAACAAACATTAAATATAATACAATATTAAAACACAATACATATAAATTAAATTAATTACATTATATTTGTATGTCAAATGTATCAGTAATATATAAATATATCAATATTTTAAAAATGTAAAAAAAATTATCTACATTTTTGGAATTAAATAATAAATCTGTCAGGAAGGTGTACAAGTCATAAGTAAATTTATTTATTAAAATTCAGCGTAATTTGGATTTAAAATCTGTTATAGGTAATTGTTTTATCTGCTAGTTTGTTGTAAGTTTTTGGGGCCATATTGAATATACACTTTTATCTTGAAGTAGTGTGACGTTATATTTTTTGTAAATTATTTTTCTTATGAGCCAAATGTTGTGAATAATACCACAAAACAGGAAACAAATATAAAAAAAGAAAGTGAAAAACACTGTAATAGTTAAAGTAGATTTGAAGAAAGATTCAATATTTATAAATAAAGGGGTTTGGCTTTGTTTCTAGCATTAAGAGATCGCTTAGTAAAATTCGTCGGCTTATAAATAGATTTATCAATCACGTATTTGTTATCCGTATAAGAAGACATGAGCGGAAAGTTTCCAAAGTATTTCATATCTCACTCGAATAAAAATTGGCACGAATCAATTTCGGTACAGTTCATTTAACGGTCATGACCTTAAACTTTAAACCTACGTATATTTCTAAAACGTCACTTACCTCTTGGTGTAGTTACATTTAACAGCGACAATTATCAACAGTATATTGGCCACGAGTGACAACAATATTATAGGAACGTACAAAGTTATCAAAACATTTTCCGGCTGAAAAAATATGTCCAATTCACTGCCGAACTGAAATGTCGCGTTGAAACCACCACTTATATTTATACCCTGCAATGGGGTGAAATCCTTTGACGTTGCATTTGAAAACATTGTTTTAAATTTCAATCATTTTTTTCACTTATTGTCTTTTCTCACATTCACTTCAATATTGCACTGTTGATTGCACATTCCACATTTGTATTTACAATTCTTAAAACATATATTTGTGAAGTTATCCAATTTTATTTTTAAGTTTTTTTTTATGTACACATAAATGTTATTCATAATTACTTATTTACAATTATACAGTTTCAACTTTTTCCCAACACCAACTCAAATCGAACTAAACTTAATTAGTGACATAACTCCTTCAATTTGCACTACTTAATTCTCACACACCGCGAATCATTCACAATAAACGTAAAACACTCGAAATATTTTCGTAACATTCTTTACACGTGCAAATTTTTATGTCTAACAAACTTGCAGGCGACTGCCGCTAATAAAGCTTCGGATCTCACTGAATGGCCACATCTTTTACCGTAAAGACGAAAAGCATGCGCAAAGGAAATGAACGTGACAGCACGCCGATCCGTGAATGGAATGGTGTAGTGTATTTTCCATAATAAATCATACATATGATTATTTACACGAAAAGTTTTTTTTAAATATTTTATTATATATAAATCAAGCGGTATTTTATTAGTGTTGGTATAAATCATTTGTCGTTCTAATAATAGTTGAGGTGTTGATATTAAACTATGGATATATGTCGGTGCTGTAAATTTTCTAAAAATAATTAATATCAGATGCAAAGCGTTTCTATTGGACGATCGCACCGGGCCTCGTCGCGGTTACTGGTGACCCAAGAGTTGGTAGAATAAGTTTAAAAATCCAAAGAGGTAATGCTGCCATCTTGGATCTAAGACATTTTGCTGATGTTTATTTATTTATTCCATTATTTATTTATTTATTCGTTTGTTTCTTTGTTTAGACATATCCACAATACAAAAACATACATTTTCAAATTTCAAATCGCGTCTGAAGAATTATTACCTCTCACAATGCCGATATACGTACTTATTATATTTGTGTATTATATATATATATATATATATATATATATATATATATATATATATATATATATATATATATACATTGTAATAAGTTAATTTTAATGATGGTAAATAAAAAAAAAGTTAATTAATTAATATAAATTTTTATTTGGATTATTCATCCAATAAACAAACATTAGAAAAATATAACGCATCATTTGCTAAGTAAACGCTATTTACGTATATTTGCTAAGTAAGCTATTTACATACGAATCAAGATTAAAAATAGACATTACATGAAAATAATTTAAAAAATTTCTACAAAATATTATATTGAGGTAATATGTGTTATTTCAAAAATTTGTAATTCTTTGAAAGTTGACTTAAATTTATTTAATCAATCATGTACATATAAATAAAAAAATAATACCCAATTATTACAAAATTAAAATATTATAAATGAAAGTATTATATAAAATTATATATATATATATATATATATATATATATATATATATATATATATATATATATATATATATATATATGTGTGTGTGATTGCCACATTCAATTTGGTATCAATATTATTGACGTAGTCTCGTATCTTGAAGCTAGTCGTGGGTATAATGTCTAGATTAGAAATGGTCTGGTAAGCCGGGTCATGACGCTCCTCACGTAATAATAATAAATATTTTTGATAATAGCCATTTTTTATACAAACTACCGCCCAGTTCGGAATGCGATTTCAGCCGAGAAGCTGAAAAGCGACGAGCAAGCTTTTTTCAAATATAACTGAAGTTTATAACAAAAAAAATATGAATGGATAAAACGACTACCGCATATTTCGTATTTATAATGATAAAGAAAATAATAAGCTACCAAGCTACAATCAATCACAGTATTCTCGAACAGACCTACTAGAAGCACTCGTTCACGAGTATGACGGACGAGTCAGTCATCGTTGTGTTCAATCATATTATAGGGAGCCCAGCGACCCGACCCGTCACGCCGCCATATTGTAATCAAACATAACGATGTTTGGCTCATCCGTCATACTTGTGGACGCATGTTTCTAGTAGAGATTGAACAATTCGACAATACTACTATTGATTATAAAGATTTTATCAATATGATACTTGTAAAAATTGCATTACCTTGTCAATTTCAACTTTCTTTCCAAAATAAAAAATAAAAACACTAAATTTCTTGCTCGTGTGTCTCAGCTGAATTTGCAAAATTAAATTCCCAACGAAGTGTAATTAATTTGAACAAATATTTTATTATTATTATTATTATTTCAGCCATTAACTGTCCACTGCTGGACATAAGCCTTCCCCATAAGGAGTGCTTTGTCAGTAGTTGCTACGCTTGGCAGGCAGGTTGACAACCGCAGTTAGGCTTTTAAAGATGTTTTAAGAGGGACGCTTCTGGCCAATCTTCGCCCTCCCTTAGTCGCCTCTTTCGACACCCACGTTTCAATATTTATAAATATTAACTTACAATAATATATAATTCTTATCTATATATAGAAGATTTTTTTTCTTATACAACTTAGAATGGCAAACAAGCTGACGGCCCACCTGATGGAAAGTAGTAACCGTCGCCCACAGACATAAGCAGCACCATGGACACAACAGAGTATACTGTTTCGCCCATAATACCCCGCATGCTTTACCATCCCTGAGGACTCAGGTGTTATTCCTCTGTACCCTGAAAATTCACGCCATATCCCACCCTTCAAACCGAAACACAGCCATGCAAACACAACCGCTTCACGGTAGAAACATGAATGGGATAGAGGTACCCAAGCAATCGACTTTTGTACAAAGTCTCCCTCTGGTAATATATACTGGATACACTTTATGGACAACTCTTTATCGTATCGAGCTGTCCAGTTATGGAACAAACTCCCTTCCCACATACAAGAGAGTCCCTCTATTACCTCTTTCAAGAAGAGGTTGAAAGCTTATTTTCTTTCCCTTGAGTAATATTTTTTTTTTATATTTTTCTAACTGAACTGTCAAATCTTAAAATTATTAAACGAAATTTCTAATGTAAGTAGTATATTAATTTATTTTAATATTTATTATATAAGTAGGTAGGTATTATATGTATTTATAGTGTATGTATTTATGTAGTATTTTATTATATATTTTAATATTTTATTTAACTGTATATTTGTTTATGTATTAATAGTTGTAGCACTTCAGCTGCCCGCTAACGAAATGCTTTCTCACTGTACTGGGTTGACTGGAAGAGATCTCTGTCAAAGATAAGTCCACCCTTGCTCACAACATTTATAAATATATTATTTTATATGTAACTTACAAGTGCAATAAAGGATATATATTGTATTTTATAGAAATAAAAGCTAAATTATTACATAAGAACATTTCCCGTTACAATGTGCCACTTTCCATCAGGTGAGTCATAACAAACTAATGGGCTAGCCGATGGAAAGTCAGAACCGTTACGTTAAAAAAATAACATTATTGTACATTTCACAAATATACTGTGACTCCCATGTCGTTCTTCGGGCATTGCAATGAAGATGTTAAAAAGATTTACAAGCTATTTGGCGACCTTAATGATTTTGCATCAACGTAAATTCGATCCTCGCACAACACAAACTTCTGTTATTATGAGTATATTATTTTATACAATAAATATTAAAAAAATGGAAATAAAATTCCAACAAGAACTTGAGATATATTTAATGTCGCTTGATTATTACTGATAATAATGATTATAAAATTGTCATCATTGTATTTATATATATAATACACAAATATAATAAGTACGTACATCAGCATTGTGAGAGGTAATAATTCTTCAGGCGCAATTTGAAATTTGAAAATGTATGTATTTATATAATGGACATGTCTCAATAAACAAACAAATTATTAAATAAATAAATATTGAAATAAATAAATAAACATCTGCGAAATGTTTTGTAGCCGATTTAATTATTAACATTTTCATTAAGGGCTGCTAAAACAGAGTATATGTTAAAGTGATATACATATATATTCTCCCTCGTTCCAAACATGTACACAGCAAGTATATTACAGAGATAATATATTCTCTTTACACTATACTATTTGGTTGTACAGTTTACGTGTAAGATAATTTTAGAGTACCACAGGGAGATCTATGTTTCAAACGGTAAATTAAACATGACATTAGTGGGAGTTCGTTATTATTATCCTGTGTCATGACAAGGCATGTCATTGAGTATTACGTATATATAGGATAGGTTTTTTTTTTATACAACTTAGAATGGCAAACAAGCTAACGGCCCACCTGATGTAAAGTTGTAATCGTCGCCTATAGACATGAGCAGTAGCATGGACATAACAGAGTATACTGTTTCGCCCGTGATACCCCCCGTGCGTTGCCATTCCTGAGGACTCAGGTGTTATTCCTCTGTACCCAGTAAATTCACGCCATATCCCACCATTCAAACCGAAACACAGCCATGCAAACACAACTGCTTCACCGTAGAAACACGAATGGGACAGAGGTACTCAAGCAATCGACTTTTGTACAAAGTCTCCCTCTGGTGGGAGTTCAAGTTACAAGAGTACAAGTTCAATAAAGAATATAATCATTTTACGTGATTTTAATTTGTGTTCATTCTATGGCAAAACCCAAGCTCCGTATGTCATTTGAAATGATTTATTTTCAACCGGAAAATTTTGATCCGGAAGATCGAACGTACGGGTGTACGCTCGCAGCAAGTAAATAAGTTCGTAAAAAGGCTATGAGAAGGTACATTCAAAGTCAAGAAGGTACTGATAGAAATGTATGAAGACGGAATATACGATGAAAGGTCGACGACACAAATAATAAATACAATAAAAATGTCATGTAGACAGACGTATATTCTTTATACCTTTTCAAAGTATTACAGTAAATAAACTTAGCAAATGTATTGCTTTTTATGTTGAGATTGTGTTCCACAAAATATTACTTACTTAAGTTGTGGCAAAATAAATTATTTTGATTTTAACTAATTAATTGATTAATTATTTATAAATTATTATTATTTATTTATTAATTATTTTATTTATTTATTGGAAAACCAACAGCTTACAATTTATAGCTTAAAACAACAACTTATCCATATAAAAAGCCAATAACAGGTTTTCACTAACTTAGCGATATAAATTTGTCGTGGCTAGAATATTATAAAATTTAGAAGGAAATAAAAATAAGAAACTACACTATAGTACATTATAACAATACTTACTAGATTGTGTGTGTGTGTGTGTGTGTGTGTGTGTGTGTGTGTGTGTGTGTGTGCGCGTGCGTGTGTGCGTGCGTGCGTGCGTGAATGCGTGCGTGTGTGTGTGTGTGTGTGTGTGTGTGTGTGTGTGTGTGTGTGTGTGTGTGTGTGTGTTGTGTTAAATTTTTATAAGACCAATTTTTAAGTATAATAGTTTT